CACCCAGATTAGCCTCAGAACAGCCCCATTTCCATCCTTGAAATCTTGCTTACTAAACTTCCTTGGGAAACAGCAAAATTAATGGAAGAAATATACCAATAGGCAAGGTAGCTAGGTAACCAAATGTAAATGACTTAAAACATTACTTAAGCATTAAGGAGGGGTTTCATAGTGGCTGGACCTTATGCTCCAGGTGAAATTGCTTTCTGGCTTTAGTGACAATACAAGGATTGGAATATTGGTCTCCAGAGTCATAATACAACATTCAAACAATTACACCACATTGATTCCAGGTTTCAAAGTGGCATACCTGTAATATTTAAAGCAGTGCCACTCAAAATGGGAGTCTGTGCAGTGGTACCAATTTCTAAGCCACCTGTTGAAACTTTACAATTGTAGTCAATGGCCAGAAATACGGCGCCAACACATTAGATGCAGAAATGCCAGGCCAATTCATCTGATATCTTAAGAAGTACTATTTTAAAGGTGCCCTTCCTGCTTCATGTCTTCTTTCCGTCCATCAACAAACGGCCAGAACAGCTGCAGTAATACTGACACTCCTGCCAAACATAGGAGGAATCCATAGCGCTCCAAGCCCACAGTGTTTCTCAACCTGGGGGTCGGGACCTCTGGGGGGTCACGAGGGGGCATCAGAGGGGTCACTGAAGACCATCAGAAAACACAGTATTTTCTGTTGGTCAAGGGGATTCCGTGTGTCAAGTTTGGCCCAATTCTATTGTTGGTGGAGTTCAGAAAACTCTTTGATTTTACGCGAACTATAAATCCCAGTAATTACAAATCCCAAAGGTCAATGTCTATTTCCCCCAAACTCCACCAGTGTTCACACTTGGGCATATGGAGTATTCGTGTCAAGTTTGGTCCAGATCCTCCATTGTTTGAGTCCACAGTGCTCTCTGGATGTAGGTGAACTACAACTCCAAGTGCCCACCAAACCCTGCCAGTATTTTCTCTTGTTCATGGGAGTTATGTGTGCCAAATTTGGTTCAATTCTATCATTGGTGGAGTTCAGGATGCTCTTTAATTGTACCCGATTTGAACCATAAATCCCAGAAACCACAACTCCCAAATGACTCCCCCCAACCCCACCAGTATTCAGATTTGGGTGTATTGGGTATTTGTGCCCAGATTGATCCAGTGAATGAAAATACACCCTGCATATCAGATATTTACATTACAATTCATAACAATAGCAAAATTACAGTTATGAAGTAGCAACGAAAGTAATTTTATTGTTGGGGGTCACCACCACATGAGGAACTGTATTAAGGGATCGTGGCATTAGAAAGGTTGAGAACCCCTGGAAAGAGGTGAGAAGAAAGGAAAAAGAGAGGAAGAACAAGATTAGAAGGGAGAAACTACAGGAAGAAACTTTTGTAAGAACCCTCAAGAAACTTAAGAAACCCAAGACGCAGAGAAAGAAGACCGGGAAGTCCACCTCCTCCCCTTTTTTACCCCCCCCCCAAACCAAACACATACCCCTCCTCCCCCTCTCTCCCGCATGCCCCCCACCCCCCTTAGATTTTTTTTTGTATAGGGCCCCTCCCCTTCCTTACCCCCCCCTTCCACATCCTCCTCCCCCACCAAAAACCATCCCTTTACCTCCGATCCCCCACTTTTATACATATATTGAAATATTTCTAATAAAGATTTTTTTTTAAAAAAAAGAGAGAACTACTGTATCAAGGGCTCCTACAGGCCTCTACAATTCCCCAGCAACTTTTCTTTCAGCCCAATCTTCAAGCAAAATATGGAGAGGTTTTTAAAAAATCAAAAAAGAAAAAAAAGACAATAATCACTATTCTTATTGTCATGTTATTTTGGTACACCCTAAACATACAAGACTTCAAAGACTTGTTGGTCTCTAAAATCACCTAATCAAACTCTTGGGAAGAGTTCACAGACAAAATGCCGCTGACTGTCAAGGATAGGGAACAGATTCCGAAAAGTGTGGAGAGAGGAAGACATGCGACAGGTTACTGATAGTTTTCATATGTTTTCCTCAACAAAAAATAGTTATGATTTCCTAAACAATGACTCTAGTAATTGGAAATGGAGAGAAAACGCCATTAACTGGTCATCGCATCTTCACTTCACTTAGGCAATCCCTCGTAGCCCGAGGATGATAGTCCTCCTGGGGGTGGGTCAATAGGTGACTGTGGAGCCCTATTCTTGATCTGCATCTTCTCCCACAGTGAGGGCATTGGTTTCCAGGTGGGGGGCAGTCCCGGCTTGACGCGCCTTCCTCTTGGCATGTTTATCTCTTTCGCCCTCCATGCGTGCCTCTTCAAATTCTACAGCACTGCTGATCACAGCTGACCATCAAATGGAGCGCTCAAGGGCCAGGGCTTCCCAGTTTTCAGTATCTATGCCAGAGTTTTTAAGGTTGGCTTTGAGACCAACTTTAAATCTCTTTTCCTGTCCTCCAACATTCCGTTTTCCGTTCTTGAGTTCAGAGTAGAGCAACTGCTTTGGGAGACGGTGGTCAAGCATATGGACAACATGGCCAGTCCAGCGGAGTTGATGGTGGAGGACCATTGCTTGGTCTTCGCTTCTTCCAGCACGCTGACATTTGTCCACTTGTCTTCCCAAGAGATGTGCAGGATTTTCCGGAGGCAGTGCTGATAGAATCGTTCCAGGAGTTGCATGTGACATCTGTAGACAGTCCATATTTCGCAGGCGTATAGCAGGATTGGGAGGACAATAGCTTTATAAACAAGCACCTTGGTATCCCTACGGATGTCCCTCAAACACTTTGCTTCATTCGTAAAAATGCTAACATGTCCAGAGGAGGGGTACTAAAATGATCAAACGTCTGGAGACCATGAATTCCTATGACGAATGGATTAAAGAGTTGGGTATGTTCTGTCTGCAGAAGAGATGCCTGAGAGGAGACATGATCAGCACATATAAATATGTGAAAGGATAACATAAGGAAAAATCTGACCTTGTGTGTTGGCCAGTCTCTTGCAGTGTGTATGTCTCTGGCCAACACACAAGGTCAGATTTTGACAACCTTGTGTATTCCCCATTCTAATTCTTGCACTATTTTGCCTAGTGAAGTTGTAAAAATAATAATTAAAAAACCAAAACATTTGAGTCACATTTATACAATTTTGATACAATGTTAGTGGTCCTAACAAATATACTATGAGACAGTGTAATGGCTTGAATGTTGGACTGGGATTCTGGGAAACTATTATTTGAATCCCTGTTCAGCCATAGAGACCCTCTGGATAACCCTAGACACGTCATACTCTGAGGGAAACACAATAGCAATACTCCTTTGAATAAATCTTGCCTAGATAATCCTCAGAGACGATTATCATAATGTGGAGTTGACTTGAGTCTTTAGCTTTGTGTTCTTTTTTGTTTCTATGGTAACGAATGTTACATCACATGAAAGCCTTATGTGTCTAATATATGTTTTCAAAATTTTGTGTTTGTAGCTTATGGCAACAGTGATCTAGGCATGCAGGAAAACAAAATGGCGGAGTCTAAGGTGATATTCACAGCAAATGAGAGCAGAGGAGTGATAAAATTCCTGTTTCTGCAAAGGAAGTCCGAGAAGGATATTCATGGTGATATATCACAGACATTGGGGGATCAATGCCCTTCATATTCTACAATTAAGAACTGGATTGCCAAATTTAAAACGGGCCACTTCAGCACCAATGATGAGGAACATCCTGGATGACTGAGAGTGGTTGTTGTTCTGGCGATTGTCAATGCTGTTAACAACCTCCTACTGGAGAATCAGCGAATTTCAGCTAAAGGAATAGCAGACATCATGGGGATTTCTCATGAACATGTTTGTGTCATTATCCATGAACATTTGAACATGAAGATGCCATCTGCAAAGTGGGTCCCCAAATGTTTGGCAACAGATCAGAAAAGCATGTGATTGAAAACTTCCCAATCCATTTGTCAATATTTCTAAACTGATAAGAACTTCCTGGATTGATTCGTCACTATGGAGAGACCTGGATTTATTTGTATGACCCTGAAACCAAGGAGCAGTCAAAAGAGTGGAGGCACAGTTCTTCTCCTCATCCAAAGAAGTTCGGGGTGCAAAAATCAGCCACTAAGGTAATGGCATCTGTGTTTTGGGATAAGGACGGTGTGCTGATAGTGGACTACCTTAAAAATGGTTCCACCATCAATGCAAGATATTACATTGAACTTTTGGACCAACTGAAGGCAGCTCTGAAGACCAGAAGGCATGGCAAGCTGTCCAAAGGAATCTTGTTCCTGCAAGACAACGTCTCTGCTCATACTGCACAAGTGACCATGGTAAAACTGGTGGAGTTAGGCTTCCAGCTGGTTGACCACCCACCTTATTCACCAGATCTAGCTTCCTCCAACTATCATCTGTTTTCAAACCTGAAGAAACACCTCAAGGGTACCAAATTTCACACAATTTCTGATGCCATGGCTGCTATGAATGACTGGTTTGAGGCACAACCGAAATCCTTCTTTTTGCAAGGCTTACAGAACTTGGAATACTGATGTAAGAAGTGTGTTGATATCAGTGGAGAGTATGTGGAATAAATATAAAATTTCATCTTCCTATCTCGTTTCTTTCTGGGTAAAGCCAAAGACTTATCAGCAGCCCCTCATATAACTATCACAACAACAATACATCTATCGCCCGTCTTTGATCTTTGTTTTTACTATACAGCTACTTTACATTGAATATTCTTATTTTTGCAGATTATCGATTCAAAGCTAGGAATTAAAACTGTCTGTCCATAACTGTAAGCAGATGCAAAATCAGCCAGCAAAGCCACTGACTAATGTGACACTGGTGATATCAAAGATTTTGTTGTTTTAAAATGCATATTTTAGATTTTTAATTTCAAAAATTATTTTTTTTAATTCTTTAAATACTTTTCAAACAAAACCTTTAAAAAAGAACAGGAAGTTGATCAAGATGAAATTGCTTTCTAAACATTCCCATAAAAGTTAGACCTCAGACCTACCTCAAGTGTCCCAAGCTATAATAGCGCGATTCTCCATCTGTTGATCGAACCACCTTGACCGTGAACATTGGCTGCAGCTGCCTCAGTTCCAATACTATGATAGCAAGATAGTGAACAAAAAGCAGAGCATCCACCAGGGACACAGAAAACTGTACGATTCCATGGTAATTGAGGTCCTTGGATTCCAAAATGCGAACACCATAAAACAACCAGTAGGAAAACATCAGTAGAAATATAAGGACCAAAGTGAGGATGCGGAACACAAACACTCTCGGGAGGTCTGCCTTGGGTTGGCGAAAGAAAAGCGCCCAGGTGCCAATCAAGAGTATCAGGAGTTTGAAAGCGACAGAGATGAAGAGTCCCTCGCAAGCTGTTCCACATGGCTCCAACTCACTTCTCCACAGGATCTGGGGGAGCAGAATAAAGGCAATGGGAGTCAGGAAGACCAGAAGGCCCAGGATGGCTGCCACTGTGAAGACAAGGTAACGCTTGCAGTCCAAGCCAACGCTGTCCTCCAAGTCTTTGCTGAGCCCAGCAAGGTCCTCCTGGGACACACTGTGCTCTGAAGTCCCTGTGATGGCTGTTGTGGTCTCACCCCAGTTGTCATCCTGAAAAGGAAAAAAAAGGTGACTCAATTGTATGCCAGCTCCTGACATTCAGGGAACCTTCAGATGCCTCTTGTGCGGTTGAAAACCAATGACTTCAGGATGAAATAAGGATAAACTCTCATATATGTATTGACATTACTAAGGCCTTTAACAATATTTGACAGTAATTTAATAATAGTTTGTCAGCATGCATAAGAAAATCAAGGCTTAAACAAAAAGCATATACAACCATCATTACATGGAGCAGGATGTGATTTCCTGAAAAGAACTCATAATTTTGTAACATGAAAAGGGACCATTGTACCATAGATACTATTACACTAGGTGTTGCAGCTGACTATCAGGTCGACATGGGCAGGAGCAGCCAGAAGGTGTGGAGGCTGCTAAGACGGCTGAGCAATGACCCCTCACAAACTAATACCCATGCCAACATAAAGGCAGATCAGATAGCACACCAACTCTTGAAGAATGGGAAACCCAACCTTGCCACCAAAGTAGGAAAGAAACCAATAGCCAGGCAACCAGAGATTGAGAACCTTCATGAACCCTTTACATCTACTGAATTGGACATGGCTCTCAATAAATGTAAAAATGGCAAAGCAGCTGGCCTGGATGATCTACGGATGGAACAAATCAAGAACTTTGGTCCAAAAGCAAGGTGCTGGCTGATGGAGCTTATGAACAACTGCACTGCATCCTGTCAGATCCCCAAAATCTGGAGGAAAGTAAGAGTCATCGCCATCCTGAAGCCAGGCAAAGACTGTAAGGATCCAAAAAGCTACATACCAATCTCCCTGTTGTGCCACCTCTACAAAGCTCTGGATAGACTTATTTTGCATAGAATTACGGAAAAAATAGACCAATGTCTAATCCCACAGCAAGCTGGCTTCAGGAAAGGCAGAAGCTGCACATTGCAAGTGCTGAACCTGACTCAGCACATAGAAGATGGCTTTGAAAGGCAGCAGATCACAGGAACTGTCTTCATAGACCTGTCAGCAGCTTATGATACTGTGAACCACCGCCTCCTCCTGAGAAAAATGTATAATATCACAAAGAACTACCACCTCACCAGCCTCATAGAAAACCTGCTACAAAACAGGAGCTTTTTTGTTGAGTTCCAGGACCAGAGAAGCAGATGGCGGAAACAGAAGAATGGCCTGCCTTAGGAGAGCGTGCTTGCTCCATCAATGTTAAACATTTACACAAATGACCAGCCACTGCGAGAAGGGACAGAGAGCTTCATCTATGCTGATGATCGTGCCATTACTGCTTAAGCAGGGAGCTTTGAGATGGTTGAACAGAAGCTCTCCGAAGATCTAGATGCCCTTACTGCCTATTACAGGGAAAACCAGCTGATCCCTAACTCATCTAAAACACAGACATGTGCTTTTCATCTCAAGAACAGACAAGCATCCCTGGCTCTGAAGATCACCTGGGAAGGAATCCCACTGGAGCATTGCAGCGCACCCAAATACCTGGGAATCACTCTGGACCGTGCTCTGACCTACAAGAAGCACTGCCTGAACATCAAGCAAAAAGTGGGTGCGAGAAACAATATCATACGAAAGCTGACTGGCACAACCTGGGGATCACAACCAGACACAGTGAAGACATCTGCCCTTGCGCTATGCTACTCTGCTGCTGAGTATGCATGCCCAGTTTGGAACACATCTCACCACGCTAAAACAGTGGATGTGGCTTTTAATGAGACATGTCGCATTATCACGGGGTGTCTACGCCCTACACCACTGGAGAAATTACACTGTTTAGCTGGTATCGCACCACCTGACATCCACCGGGAAGTAGCAGCCAATAGTGAAAGGACGAAGGCAGAGACATCTCCAGCTCATCCCTTGTTTGGGTATCAGCCAGCACATCAATGACTTAAATCAAGAAATAGTTTTCTAAGATCTACAGAATTGCTGGAACACCTCAGCAAGCGAGAGTCCAAAAGTGACAGGCTCAAACCCAGAACCTCAATCAATGGCTGATACCAAATGAGAGACTCCCCCCTGGGCACACAGAAAACTGAGCGATCTGGAAGATGCTGAACAGACTGCACTCTGGCACCATGAGATACAGAGCCAAACCTCAAGAAATGGGGCTACAAAGTGGAATCCACGACATGCAAGTGTGGAGAAGAGCAAACCACTGACCACCTGCTGCAATGCAACCACATGCACAATGAAGGACCTCCTTGCAGCAACACCAGAGGCACTCCAAGTGGCCAGCTACTGGTCAAAGGACATTTAATCAACTACCAAGCTTGCAAACTCTATTTTGTCTGTTTGTTAAAAATGTAATACAATTGTCTGGTTGACACTGACACGATAAATAAATAAAGCTGACTATCATGAATGAATTTACGTTTCAAGAGCAGGAAAGATATGAGATAACTGTAGAACAATCTCAATCCCATTACACTTCTAATAAGGCACATAATTGCCAGACAGCTTGGTCCACATTGTTACATGAACTACAATTATCTATATAAATAAAAATGTAATGTTCGTTTGTGGGATTAACATAACTCAAAAACCGCTGGACAAATTGGCACCAAATTTGGCCACAAGACACCTAATAACCCAGGTAGTGACTATCACTAAAAAATTGATGTTGTCCTTTGGGAGTTATAGTTGCTTGGATTTATAATTCACCTACAATCAAAGAACATTCTGAACTCCACCAATGATGGAATTGAACCAAACGTGGTACACAGGATTCCCATGACCAACAGAAAACACTTAGAAGGGTTTGGTGGGCATTGACCTTGAGTTTGGGAGTTGTAGTTCACCTACATCAAGAGAACACTGTGGATTCAAACAATGATGGATCTAGACCAAACTTAGCACAAATACTCCATATGCCCAAATGTGAACACAGATGGAGTTTGGGAAAATAGACATTTGGGGGTTGTTGTTACTGGAATTTATAGTTCACCTAAAATCCAAGAGCATTCTGAACCCCACCAACGATAGCATTGGGCCCAAACTCCCACACAGAACCCCCATGACCAACAGAAAATACTGTGTTTTCTGATGATCTTCGCGACCCCTATAATACCCCCTTGTGACCCCAACTCCCAAATTGAGAAATAAGACCATCCAGTCCAACTCCCTTCACGAGGGCAAGAAAACATAATCAAAGCCCTCCTGACAAAGAGCCATCCAGCCATAGATATAGATAGGTATATATGATTCTCACACACACACGCATATGATGGATATAATATCATAGATTTTAAAGGGATCCCTAAAGGACAATAATATGTTCAATGTTCAAGAGCAAGCAAACCAAACAATCTCCACATCAACACTGACAAAGAAACGGCAAGCAATACTGAAATTACATATATTAGAAACCAACACTAGGAGGAAGAACTTGATGAAGTCTTCTGCCAACAGTTGACAAAACAGGCACAGAGAAGAGATGTAGTAGTCATGGGCGATTTCAACTATCCCGATATTTGCTGGGAAACAAACTTGGCCAAGAGTACAAGGTCCAACAAATTCCTCACTTGCCTTGCAGACAATTTCCTCCCAACAAATGCGGAGGACCTGATCGATGCGGTTGAAGTGGTCGGATCCTTAGGGGTAAGTGACCATGTGCTCCTGCAATTTGAGGTACAAAGGAAGGCCGAAACTAAGACAAGTCAAATCCGCATTTTGGACTTTAGGAGAGCTGATTTTTGAAAAATGAAGGAAACACTGAGCAGCATTCTTTGGACACAGATATTAAAAGACAAGGGAGTTACGGATGGATGTGAATTTCTCGAGAGTGAAATACTCAAGGCGCAATTGCAAACCGTGCCAACAAAGAGAAAAAATAGTACAAGTGCAAAGAAGCCAGAATGGATGTCCAAAGAACTTCTAACTGTGCTAAAACACAAAAGAGACATGCACAAGAAGTGGAAAAAGGGAGAAATCACCAAAGAAGAATTCAAACAAAAAGCCAACACCTGTAGGGAAAAGGTCCGCAAGGCTAAAGCACAAAACGAACTCAGTCTTGCCAGGGACATTAAAAATATTAAAAAGGGCTTCTTTTCTTATGTCAGTAGAAAAGGGAAGAACAAGGAGGCAATAGGGCCTCTTCGAGGAGAAGATGGGGTAATGCTGACAGTGGGTAGGGAAAAGGCAGAACTACTTAATGCCTTCTTTGCCTCGCTCATCTCACAAAAAGAAAGTCATCTTCAACCTCAGCAAGACGGAGTGGATGAGGGATTAGAGGACATCCAACCCCAAATTGGGAAACAAGTCGTCCAGGAATACCTGGCCGCTCTAAATGAGTTCAAGTCCCTAGGGCCAGATCAACTACACCCAAAAGTATTGAAGGAACTAGCGGAAGTCATTTCCAAACCATTGGCAATCATCTTTGAGAGTTCTTGGGGAACAGGAGAAGTTCCAGCAGACTGGAGGAGGGCCAACGTGGTCCCAATCTTCAAGAAGGGAAAAAAAGGATGACCCAAACAATTACCGTCCGATCAGCCTCACATTGATACCAGGCAAGATTCTGAAAAAGATTGTTAAGGAAGTGGTCTGCAAACACTTAGAAACAAATGCGGTCATCGCTAATAGTCAACATGCATTTATCAAAAACAAGTCATGCCAGACTACTCTGATCTCTTTTTTCGATAAAGTTACAAGCTGGGTAGATGCGGGGAATGCCATGGATGTAGCGTACCTGGATTTCAGTAAGGCCTTCGACAAGGTCCCCTATGACCTTCTGGCAAACAAACGAGTCCAATGTGGGCTAGGCAAAACTACTGTGAGGTGGATCTGTAATTGGTTAAATGGATGAACCCAGAGGGTGATTCTCCCCAATGCTTCCTCTTCATGCTGAAAAGAAGTGACGAGCTGAGTGCCATAAGGCAGGTTTCCGTCCTGGGCCCGGTCCTGTTCAACATCTTTATTAATGACTTAGATGAAGGGCTAGAAGGCATGATCATCAAGTTTGCAGACGACACCAAATTGGGAGGGATAGCCAATACTCCAGAGGACAGG